GTAAGTGTCTAAGGCCAGATTTGAACTCAGGTCCTCCTGATTCCAGGGCTGGTGCTCTATCCACTGCACCACCTAGCTGCCCCTCTAGCTCATTTTGAAAGGAACTGAGGCAATCAGGGTGAAGCGACTTGCCCAGGGTCACACAGTGAGTGTCTGAGGCTGGATTTGAACACGTGAAGATGAGCCTTTCTGACTTCAAGCCCAGTGCTCTGTGCACTATGGCGCCATCTAGCTGCCCTTAACAACAACAAATGAAGACCTGAGCTAGGATGGTGGTCATGGGACGCAAGTGGACAGATGAGGCAGAATTGACAAGGCTTGATGACAGAACGGACAGAGAAGGGTAAGTGAGAGTGAAGTCTGGGGCTGCAAATGTGTGAGGCTGGAAGGATGGTGGTGTGCTCGACAATTAAATTTAGAGGAACAGCTTTGGGGGGGAAGGAGTTCTGTTTTGAACATGCTGATCTGGAGATGTCTCTAGATCATTCATTTTGAAATGTTCACTAGGCAGTTGGTGATGTGGGACTGGAGCCTGGGACAGACTAGGGATAGACAAATCAATCTGGGAGTGATCTGAGGAAGGATAATTGAACCTACTGGAGCTGATGGAATCACCAAGTGTAGAGAGGAGGGCTGGAGACAGAACCTTGGGTGCTGTGGACAGCGCCAGGGCAGCACATGGATGATGACCCAGCAAAAGTCTGAGGACTTGGGAGGCTACATGGGAGAAAGAGGAGCTACTGCTTGGGGCACATAGACCGGTGATAATGAACAGGTAAAAAGCAGAGCTACTTACACTTTTACTTTGCTCTTTCTTCCAGTTCTCAGAGTGGGCCCCTGACTAGTCTTTGGAGGCTGATAGGAGCAGAGAGCTCCCTAAGTAGGGAGGGAGCAAGCAACTGCCTTAGATGACTTCCAGGAGCTCGCATGAAGCACATCCCAGGGTACTGAGAGAATTTGCTAGGGTGATTGATGAGTGATCTTTGAAAGGTCACAGAGAATGGAAAAGGTACTACAGGGCTAGGGGGCAACAAGGTGGCACTGGGCCTGGAGTTAGGAAGATCTGAGTTCAAATCTGGCTTTGGACACTTCCTAGCTGTGTGACCCTGGGCAAGTCACTTAACCCCTATTTGCCAGTTTCTCTTCCGTAAAATGGGGACATGTCGGAGAAGGAAATGGAAAACCACCTCAGTATCTTTGCCAAGAAAACCCCATTGACAAAGGACTGGAGCGGGCAAATATTGTCCCAATTTTTAAAAAGGTAGAGAATGGAGCCTGAAAACTATGGGCCAGCGAGCTTGATTTCAATTCTTGGGAAAAATCTTATGTGAAACAGCAAAGGGCGGTTAGCAAAAATCTAGAAAAGGGAAAAAAAAAAAGCCAGCATGACCATGTCAAACAGGTCATGCCAGACTAACCTTATTTTCTTTTTTGGACAGGGTTACTAGGCTAATAGATCAGGGGAGTGCAGCAGTAGACAACAGATGACCTAGATTTCAGTAACATACTTGGACAAGATCTCTCATGGCATTCCGCAGGAAAAGATAGAGAGGTGTAAGTTAGGCATTTAGTTAGTTGGATTTGGAACTGGTTGGAATAAAGTAGTCATTTAATTTGGAAGGTCTCTAGCAGAGTGCCCCAAAGATCTGCGCTGTTTAACAACATTTTTATCAATGCCTCAGGAAGTCTTAGGAGGCACACATGTCCAACTTGCAGATGACAAGGGTGAGAGGGATAGCTGACATTCAGGATTCATTAAGATCTTAATAGAGGAGAACACCGAGCTGAATATTATAGTGTGTATGAAATTTAATGGGATAAATGCTTATATGTGGGTTCAAAAATTCACTTTTACAAGTGTAAAATCAGGGTGCCACGGCCAGACGGCTGCTCATATGAAAAGCCTGAGGTTTTTCACAGACTTTAAGCTCACTATGAGTCAATGTGAGACGGTAGCCAAAAAGCTAATGTGACCTTGGGTTACACTGAAGATCAGAGAGCAGTAAAGCAGTAACTAAAACAGGGTGACCAGAGCTTTGTCTCAGGGTGCAAAAACCTGTAACATCCCAGGTGAGGAAATATATTGATTAAGTTGCAGGGCATCCAAGACACAGAAGGGCTTGAAGTTCAGACAGAACATGACAAGTCTTCCAAGTGTTTTAGAGGTTTTCATGTGGGAGAGGAATTAAAATTTGCTCTGCTGGAACAAGGAGAAAGCTGCAAAGAAACAAATTTAGGTTGATAAAAGGAGTAATTAATTACCTAACAATGAGAGATGACTCAGGAAGCCTTGGGCTCCCTCTGCTGGATGCTTCCAAACAAAGGCAGGACACCCACTGGAAGAGAGGATGCTCATTCAATTAAGGGTTGGCTTAGACGGATCGAGATCCTGGGGGAGCTAGAGCCAGCCTCTCGCTCTAGGCCTTATTTCTTCTCGGTAAAATCAGCAAGCTCAACCACCTGGTATGACCCCCATCCCGCCCTGGCGGGCAGTCAGCCTGTCTCCTGCTCTCGGCGACCCGGCAGGCAGATTTCTTTGCTAAGGCCATTACCTGGGGACGATGCTGTACACAGCCCCAGGTCACGTTTTTGGAGATATTGACCAGTTGGAACCCATCCAGAGGAGCACAATCATAGTGGGAAGAGGGCTTGAGATTATGTCATTGAAGTTTATTTGGGAGTGCATGGTTGATGAGATCTAGAAGCATTTATTATGTCTCCTATGTGCCAGGCTCTTTGCGCGCAGTGCTTTGTAAATATTTTATTTATCACTAGGTACAGGACTGGAATGACCTCAGAGGCCATTTTGGGGCCAATGAGCCAAAGCTCTTTCCACTGTACCAGCTAGGTGGCACAATGGATACATCAGACTTGGAGTCAGGAAGACCCAAATTCAAATCCTGCCTCATTTACTAGCTATGTGACCCTGGGCAAATCACATTCCCTCTGCCTCATTTTTCTGAACTGTAAAATGGGGATAATAGGAACCTACCTCACAGGATTCTCAAGATCAAATGAAATAGCACCTTTGTAAACTATTAAAGTTGGACAGCTAGGTGGCACAGTGAATAGAATGCTGGGCTTGGAGTCAAGAAGACCCGAGTTCAAATCTGGCCTCGACACTTACTAGCTGTGTGACCCTTGCCAAATTATTTAACCCTGTTTGCCTGAGTTTCCTCATCTGTAAAATGAGCTGGGGAAGGAAATGACAAACCACTCCAGTATCTCAGCCAAGAAAACCCTAAGAACAGGTCATGAAGAGTCAGATATGACTGGAAATGATGAAACAATAACAAACCTTAAAGTGTTGAAGGAAATGCCAGCTGTTACTAAACACTTAGGAGAGGATATTCCTGAGACTTCCAGGCCTTGGCAGACTATCCCTGCGAGCTGCTGTGGTTTAAAAAACAAAACACTTCGTGAGGCCGTTCATTCCTTCATTTATCATTCTGGTGATGCCTAAGGACTCTGATGGAGCCTGGCTGATGGATGGGTGACGCAGACCAGAGACTGACACCCTCTAGAAATAAGAACCCACAGTCTTCCAGTAATGGGATCTCAAGGGTCTGCATTTGCACACAAACCTCCTCTCAGACCTTCGCTACATGGTCACCCAGCCTCTGCTTAGAGCGCCACTGAAGAGGACTCACTCCCTCTCAGGACAGCCCACTGCACTCTGGGCAGCTCTACCTGTCCAGAAGTCTTTTCCTTTCAATCTTCTGCTGGGCTTCCCACACCTTCCTCCTAGTTCTACCCACCAGGGGAGGTAGGGGAAGCCTAACTCCCTTCTTCCATGTAGTGGCTCTCCCATTTTCCCTAAGAATTCTCTTCCAGTAAAACTGAGTCTCATGTGATTGGGTCTTCTGGAGGCCTTCGGGCTTATCCATGTCCTCAGAGGGTGCATCCCTGAACTATTCCTGATGCAGCCTAAGCAGGACTGAGGTCAGCGGGGGGGAGCGGGCTGCTTAACGCTCTCCTCACTGCTAGAAGTTACCTAGTTGAAGGGAGTTGATGTATTCGACCTGAATTTGCCAACCCAAATCTACTTTGTCCTCTTTGCCTTAGCGGGCTGTTCTAAGGGAAGCCCCCAATTCTATAGAAACGACTACAAGGCAGTAAAATGATCTGAATGCTTGACCCGCTCCAACTTTGGCAGAGCAATGTGCTCCGGAGCCAGGGAGGAGAAAGCCGGGAGTGGGAGTGGGGTCAGCATGAGGGCAAAGCAGGACAAAAGGAGGACCCATCAGTTTCTTAAGTCCATGGGTTTTTCAGAAGACTGAAAGCATTAAAAATTGTGTGAACCAGTCCAAATTTGCCAAGGATTACCAGGGGTTTACAAGAAGGGTTGGGAAACTCTTAGCTAATAGCTGGGTTGGGTGGAAAGCCACCCACGAAAGGGTTATGTGCTCACTAAGACCAACGCTGAAGATTTAGCAAACAAAGAGAAGGGGGAGAAAGAGCCCACACCTTAAGGCTAGGAAGAAAAAAATACCCACACAGGTTGGTGACCTTTTTTCTGTTTTAAAAAAACAAACAACAATAAAAAACCCCAACTATATATATCTATATATACCTATATATATATATATATATATATGGAAAGATGTTTCCTGAGACATAGAACACCAAGTCTCCGGGGTAAAACAAAACCAAAACAAACCAGGTCTGGCAGGGGCCTAGATAATCCACACCAACATCAACCAGGGCCCCCAAAGGTCACTATGCAGAACCTCAGACGTGGTCAAGTTGAGGACATTGGTGCCAACTCAGTGAGCGTGGTGCCCCCAAGCCTGTCGACCGTCCATTGCTTTGCCCCAATATCTTAAAAGGGGGAGGAGAACGTGTAGAGAACAAAGGGGAGGGCGAGGCTGACCCAGTCACTTTACAGGGATGCTCCCTCTTGGGATACAGGGTAATGAGTATACTGACTGGGGGGACTGATCAGGTTAGTGAAGGGAGCTAGGGCCTTCACTTCATGGGAGGGGAGAGAAAAAATGAAGGAGGAAAAAAGCCCTTTTATCAAAATCCAGGATCTCATGGACTAAAAAACTGTAAACTGCCCCTTGGTCGGTTGGTGATGTGTGCCAGCCATGTTATCCGTGGCTCCAGGAGACCCCATGGTGACAGGGGCTCCCCCTCCTCTGGGTGCTGGCCCCTCTCTCAGCCCCCAGGCAGTTCTGAGGAGCCAGCGTCTGCGCAGACAAAGTCCGGGCCTCAGCTCTCACCACCAGTGCAGAGTCTATGGCTGCTGGCCGCTGTGTGCCCCCACCCACTCCATAGCCCGGGATGCCCTGTGAAGGCCATGCGTTCCGAATCACAAGGGTGGTCTGTGCCCAGAAGGGGAAGGGGTCCTGGTGTGCGTGGCCGAACTGTGGGCTGCGGGCTCCAGCTCCACGCAGGTCTGGGCCATGTCGCCGCTGGCTTCTCCTGGGCAGGCCAAGCGGGCGGAGCTGGGAGTCATTTGGGTGGCTTGGTGATGATGTGGCTGGAGAAGTCAAAGAGGTCCTTGTTGATTCTCCGTAAGGTGTTTACCTCTTCCTCCAGCTCGGTCACCCGGATTTTCAGCTGCTCCTGGTCTCCCAGGGAGTTCTGGGGGGAGAAGAGACAAAGGGTGGGACAAGGGGACAAGGCAGGCTCCGGGCTGTCTTGCTTGGGAAAGCTCAAGCTTCCTGGGTCAGATCAGAGGGAGCCTTGAGTTCTCGAGGGGCCTGAGGCTGCCCAGGTTGGAAGGCTGTGACAATGGAGCGAAGACTCCTAAAGGCACTTCCAAGTTGGGAAGGCCCTGAAGGGGGGCCCTAGACAAACTCTGGGCACGCTGTCCGAGGACTTGCTCACCAAAGCCAGCAGACCCAGCACGCTGGACTTCCTGAGAAGCAGCTGCTGAGGTCTTACTCTGCACGAGTGGGTGGGGTGTGTGCAGGACGCCACCACAGATAGCTGTGATGTAAACGGCGTTAGCACTCCCACCCTGGCCCCCAAACCAGAGATCTTGCCATCTAACTTTGGAGGATGACAGCAGCTAGCTGCTTTCCTCGCTGTGCAGATCTGGTATAAGCCACCAGTGGCACAGACCACGGGGCAGGAGTTCCACAGGTCAATTTTGAGAGAACACAAGGAAAAACCTGAGTTGTTCGACAACAAGCTAATAGATAGGTGATAAGTTCCCCATCACCAGATGCATCCAAGCAGAGGGAGAAGGCAGAAGGGACTTCTTCTTTGGGTGGGGCTTAGGCCTCTGAAGTCTCCCCAGCACTGAAAGTCTGGGATGCTGAGAGTTCTTCGATAAGTGGCACTGTCTGCTCTCTGCCCCACCTTCCCCAGCAGACAGTCACAGCTCTATCCCAGGCAGGGCTGGCAATGGCCACTCCCTGGGAACGGTCTCTGCGGGTTCGAGCTCAATCAGGCAGAAGGCCGGGGAGCTATGGCATCACAGACCCTCACCTTGTCCAACGTAGTGCACATCACCGAATGCAGCTTCTCTGCTCTCTCCAAATAGCTCTTCTCAGATCCCTACAAGAGGAAGAAGTCAGGGTTTTCTCTCCATCCATGACACCTTTAATCACTGTCATTTCAGTATAATCAGGGGTGAACATTAGCCCTGTATCCCAGCCCAATCAGGGGCCATCAGTTTCCAAAGTTTTCAACCTTAGCTAGTCTTCTCAGAGGCCATGCTATTCCACACAGGGAAGAGGAGAGAGGGAGGGCTGGGAACCATCTCCTGGGCTCCACCCCAGGCCTAGCTTGTGATGCCTGTCCTGGACCCTGTGCCCTCAGTGATAAACCTGACCTACACAGCCCCTAGCCAAGACTCCTGGGTCGTGATCTGACCTTACTAGTCACATGATGCCCAAGTCCTGTTCTTTTCTGGGCCCTAGTTTCCTCACACAAAAGATGAGAACTGGACTAGCCCAGGCCTTCCGACTCGGACATCCTCTCAAGGCCCTCCTTGCTGTAACAGTCTCTGTCCTAAGAGTTCTCCCAGCCCTGACATTCTGTGTCCTATATTACAAGAACCCTTCCAGCCCTGACATCCTGCGTTCTAAGGACCCTCCTAGTTCTGACATCCTGTGTCTACATTACAAGGGCCCTTCCAGCTCTGACATCCTGTGTCTATATTACAAGGACCCATCCAGCCCTGACATCCTGTGTTCCAGGGGCCCTTCTAGCTCTGACATCCTATGTTCTAAGGGCCCTTCCAGCTCTGATATCCTGTGTTCCAGGGGCACTCTCAGCCCTGACATTTTGTGTTCTAAGGGTTCTCCCAGTTTTGGTAACCTAAAATTCTATGTAAGAGAAGGGGCTGGAAGAGAATAAGAAAATGGTTCTGATTCAAGACTTTAACACCAGAGTTAGACAGGATGTGGCCTAGGCAAGAAGCTGGTTGTTCTACAGGGAAGGCAATCCCTAGGGGAGCAGAGGGGAACATGCTGTGTGGAAGTGGGGGGAGGTGAATCCCTCCAGGGAAGGCCTCTCCTCCGTCTAGGCTGCCATCCTAGACAGTAGGTAATCCCAGGAAGAGATGGATGGGCTGGGTTCTTTGATGCTTGCAGAAAGAGATTTGTTTCTTGGCTCAGGGCTGTCTGAAAGTTGTGCCTTTCATTAAGCTTGGGAAGGCTGCTCTCTGCAGAGGCGTCCTCTGGGCAGAGTTAATCCATCAGGCCTGACAGCTCTGACTGCTCTCTGGAAAGCCAGCAAGCACCTGACAAGAATGGCAAACTGGGCACCCAGCATCGGGGCTACCCTGACCAGTCATGGGACTGCAAAGAGAACCCCCCCCTCCCGTTTCAGAGAGAGGGGTGCTGAGGCACATGACAAGAGACCTTGCCTGAGTCAGTGATGGATTCCTTGCACTCTCCACTACAGCAAGCTGAATGATGGACAGAACAGGGGCCACAGCTTCCACTCCCTACAGGGCTTCAGTTCCCTTAACATGCCATGTCAGACAGCGGGCATTTCATCACCGCTCACCATGTGCCAAGCACTGGGCAGGTACAAAGAAAGGCAGAAACCGCAGCCTCGGCCTTCAAGGACCTCACAAGTTAATTGTGGCAAACGATGTACAAACAGCTCTGTGTGTACGAGATCTACGCTGGGCAGAGGGGGGCCAACCTCAGGAGGATGGCGACGGCCCCGGCCCTAGCCCCGGGAGAGACGTGCATGGTGGGGCTTTAGCTGGGATCCGAGGAAAACCAGGGAGAGCAGTCTGGGTACGGGTGGGGGGCACAGGGAGGAGCCTGAGCTGGGCCCTGTCACGGGCCCATCCAGTCCAGAACGCACGCCGCTTATGACTCTGCAAGCCAGGCCCCCCCTTCGGCCTCATGGGATCCCACAGGCCATCAAGTCCAACCCCTTCGGTGACCTGCCCAAGGTCACACGGTGATCACGTGACAGAGGCAGATCTGGACTCTTTCCCCTGTACCAGACTGCTGCCTCAGTTTCCTTATCTGTCAAATGTTCTCATCTATTCTGGGCTGATCATCAAGGTTTCTTGTGGCTTTAAATCCTACCAGGATTAACCTGGCTCCATAAACTTTTTTCTTTCTTTTTTAAATATGCTGATTACTACATTTCCATTTTTTAATCCTAAGGATTTTATGCTATTTAAGAGATGATTCTGAGGTGTCCACAGGCTTCACTAGACCGCCAAAGGGGTCCACATGCAGTGCACAGAGCTCCCAGCCTTGGAGTCAGGAGGACCTGAGTTCAAATCCAGCTTCAGACACGTGACAATTGCTAGCTGTGTGACTCTGGGCAAGTCACTGAACCCCGACTGCCTCACCAAAAGAAAAAAAAAATTAAGGCCGGTGTTAAACAAGCCTCAGTTAAGGGTTTGTGCAGGAACCTGGGGACATAGAAAACCAGCTGAGATAGGTACTGGCCTCAGGGAGCTTACACCAGGGAGAAGTGTGTGAGAGAGAAGAGGATGGGCCGCTAGAAATCCAATACAAAATCAGGTGCGGGAATCATGTAAATGACAATGACCGGAAGAGCAGTGGTCTGAGGGAAGCTCTCTCTGGGCTCTGTGGTCAGGAAGCTGTCTAGAAAAGAGGCGATCTGCACCGGGCTTAGAAGGATAGGAAGAATTTTAACAGCTGGCAGGGGCGGGAGTCGGAGTAAAGCAGAAAGCATATTTCACATATTTTGGATGGGGGCAACTAGGTGGCACAGTGGATAGAGCACCGGCCCTGGATTCAGGAAGGACCTGAGTTAAATCCGACCTCAGACATATAACACTTACTAGCTGTGTGACCCTGGGCAAGTCACTTAACCCCATTGCCTAGCCAAAAACAAAAAACAAAACAAAACAAAACAAAACAAATATTTCCCATCAACCTTCCAAGGCTGCCGGACAGGACGGGAGGGGACAGCAGCTGAAGGAAGGTCAGGTGACACAGTCCGGCTGAGAGGGGTGTCAGCAATAGGAACAGAAAGGACGGGCTGCACAGGCCTCAGTTTCTCCATCTGTCCAACGAAGGGGGCTGGACTAGAGGGATGACTTGTAAACTTCCTGCAGACCAAATTCTATGCTCTTTCTAAACGAGATCCAAAGGAAGAATTATTAGCTCAACTTTTTTTTTCTGTTAGGGCAGAGGAGAACGTATGGGAGCTAGACCAAAGATGTCATTCATGTGAGGAATTCCTAGTGTGGAAACTTCATTCATCAATGCTAGCAGCCAATCACCTGTAACCTATAGTCTTTAAGAGTTATGGGGGGAGGAAGTGTCTGAGAGACTAAGAGATCAGAGCATGGCCATACAGCAAGGACATGACAGGATGGAACCTGGGGATGCCTAGCCCAGGCTAACCTGTCTCCAGTCTAACATGCTGCTCAAGTTTTTAAAGTTGCCAAGCACTGTAATCATATTCTCATTTGAGCCTCCCAACAATCCCTGTAACGTGGGTTCTCTATGCATGATTACCCCCCATTTTACAGATGGGGTTAAGTGAGGCTCAGAGAGGTTCTGTGACTTGCCCATGGTTACCCAGCCAGCAGTGTAAGAGGTGAAATCTGGAGCCAGGTATTTCTAATTCAATGTCCAACACTACCCATTTTGCAGCGCTGCTGCTCTAAGTATGAGAAGAGAGGGAAGAGGAAGAAGAGCTCAGAATTTCAAGCCCGGGTGACATTACCATCATTGGAGACAGAGAAACTCTGAGGGGGAGCCGCTCCCCTGCTATACCCCCCCCAGGCCAAGCTGAGGAGCGCTCTCTGGCCTGCCCCTTGACTTCAGCAGGCAGGACCTACTGGGAACGACTACCTCTTTCCAAGTCACCTGGACAAGGTAACTGAGCCAGGCTGGTGACTCTGATCCCGCAGACCCCTCCCATCACCACCTCCAATGAAAATGACCAGAGGCGGCCAAGGCTGAGCTTGCTCCTCCCCACTGGGGGCTGACGCCCAATCTCCACAGCCAGAACGCCCAGCCCCATGCATAATTCATCCTCTCTAGAAATAGTTAATTTGAAAACTCTTAAAAAAATTCTGTGAAAAACTTTTAAGTTATCCCTAGGCAGCTAGGAGAGAGAATGTGGAAGAAGCACACAGACGATAAAGTGATTGTGCTTAAGGTCGGCTCTTCAGAGACGAGACTGGCTGCTCTGCTCTGCTCTGCTGTCCTAGGGGCTCAGAGCGGGTGAGACCTTTCCAGCACCAAGGCCCTCAGGAATCTGTGGGGCGCAACAGATATGGGAGGCAGACACTTAAGTCCTAGCCTTGGTCATGCCACTGGCTGGCTACGTGATCCGGAGGATGCAGCCCTCTGAGCCTCAGTCTGCTCATCTGTAAAATGGGGACAACATCATCTGCCCCAGAGACCTCACTCGGTTAGGTGTGGAGAGATGTGCAAGTCCTGTGAACTGCTGGGGGCTGGATGCTTCCCTAGGAATAAGGTAGAATGTGGAGAAGCCATTGAGGTCTACGAGATCCAAGTAAGCACTGATCTCGACTTTATCTGCAGACAAGCCCTGTCTCCTAAGAAAGAAACCTTTCCCCTCCAACAATGGACAATGGCTAGCATGGAAAAGATTTCCGGAAAAAGTGGCCTCTAGGGGGCAGCTAGATGGCACAGTGCATACAGTGCCCAGCCTTAGAGACAGGAGGATCTGAGTTCAAATCCAGCCTCAGACACGTGACACTTGCTAGCTGTGTGACTCTGAGCAAGTTACTTAATCTCCGACTTAATCCCCACCAAAAGAAAAAAAGAGTCACTTTTACCATTGGACGGGTGACCCACAATGGAGGGGTTGCCACCACATACCCTCCACCGGGCTCCTCCTCCAGGGCTTCCCTGTGGCATGGAGGGGGTCCTGAGTTCTCTAGGGCAAACCATAGGTGTGGGCAGGCTCCGAGCACAGGCTGGGCAGCATGTCCGTCGTATGAGGACCGGCCTGGCTAACATGGAAAGGCCGGCCAGAGAGAGGGAGGGATTTCTTTCCCCAGCCACATGGCTATTCATAGAACCAGTATGGGTCTTAAAAGGGGTTTGCCCTCTTCAGATGGAAAGGTGTGGGATTTGGCATCAGAGCACTTGTATCTTGGTTCTTTCAGGACCCCATGTGACCCCCATGTGACTGGCCTTTCATGGCCCAAGGGACCAGATGACCTCTGAGGGGTCCCTCAGCTCTGAATTGCTGCTCCTATGATCCCCACTGGTGGGAAGCATAAGCACACCTGGGAGATCACAGATCTCTCCATCACAGGACCTAGAGCACCAAAGAAAGGGCTGGATGAGGTCGCACTAGCTAAGATCCACAGAGGGAGCTCCCAGCATGGGAATTCCCTTCATCAAGGCAGGGCCTAACTCAGGGATGAACTGCGGAGTCCCAGGGAGCTGCAGGAGGCACACAGGGGCTTAGGGGTTGTGTCTGAAGCAAGATTCAAACCACGGTCTTCCTGACCCCCGGCCCAGCACTCCACCCACCATCCCATAGTACTGTATATTGCACACATCTGCATGCATGGGCATCAGCCAGGACCACACCAGACCTCTGACAAGCGGGCAGGCCAAGAAGCATCAGACCCAGGTGGTATGGGTCAGGCCCAGCTCTGTAAACGGGCAAAGGCCGAAACAAAATCAGTTTTCAAGTACAAAGACAATGGGAGTTAGGCTAAGGCCAGGGAGAACATGGGGGAGGGATTTTCTGGGGCTCCAAGATTATGCCTGAAAGGTGTACGTGGACCCCAAGGGATAGGCACAGCCCTGGGCTGCTGCCCTTTTTGGTAATGACTTGGAGCAAGGCTTAGATGGCATACTTATCAAATTCACAGATGTCACAAATTTGGTGACTTAGCTAACAAGGCCAGCATCCAAAAAGACCTGGACAGGCTAGAGTGATGGGCTGAATCTAGAAGATGAAACTTCTCAGGGATAAATGTAAGGCCCTACTCTTGGAGTGAATAAAGCAACCACATGAGTACTAAATGGCAGAGGATGAGGCCAGATAACAGCAATTAAGAAAAAGATCCAGGGGTCTTAGTGGAGTACAAGCTCAGAATGTCATATTATGACATGGCAGCCAGAACAAGCCAAACAAGATCTTAGATGTCATAGAGATCTCATCTGGGTATGGGTTTTAGGGATGACAATGACAAGCCAGAATTCGTCCAGATAAAGGTGACCAGGACACTATACAAAAAGTAGTTGAAGGAAGGGAGGATGTTTATCCTGAAGGAAAGAATGAGGAAGGACATTGGAGCTGTCTTCCAGTAACTGAAGACCCTTCAAGTGGAAGAGAGAGATTAAGTTTGGGGGCCAAAGGCAACCAAGAGCCCCAGGTGGAAGGTGTGGGAAGGCAGATTATTGTTGTTGTTGCTCAACTAGACGCTGGATGATCACTTATTGAGGAGCAATCGCTCAATCAACAAGCATTTATTAAGCACCTACTATGTGCCCGGGACATGGGAGAGGGGGCTCCTATTCTGGCAGGGGTAAAGCCGTGCCAGCCACGGAGGCCAGAAGAAGAAAACCTCAGGATGAGATCGGTGAGGTCCACGACTGAGCAAGTGTGGCCTTTTTGAGCATGTTAGACCTCCTGCCCTCCACTCCTTCACCGGCTGGTAAAAATCCTCTTACACAACCCGAGCCTTGCCTCTGAGGCACTAAGGAGGACAAGAACAAGGCGGGCGCTCTCCAGGCGCTGCCACACCCTGGAGGGTCCAGGATACTGGCTAGGAGAGAGGATTTATGACCCTCCTTGATGCTGTCCTTCAAGGCTCATAAGGCACTTTTCTTACCACCACCTCCGGTGTTCCCATTTCACAGATGAGAACATGGAGCATCAGTCAGTGGTCACAGAAAAGCCCAGGCAGGACAGCTTCCCTCTCCAGGCCCCTGTTCTGCCAGCCGTCATACCTGCCGGTGCACACCAAGGCGCAGCATCACTGCCTCATTCCCCGATCCTTCACTGCTCTCAGTTCCCAGAAGGTTCTTGCTGAACTTGGGCAGGGGCAGGGTTGGCTTGCAGTCTGGGTTGAACATGCTGGCTGGGGCCAGCACGATGAAGGCATTGGTGACGGGACCTACAGAAGGGAGCAACGACACGTCCTCAGGCACGGCCTCCCAGAAAGCGATTCGAGAACTCAGCGACCAAAGGGAAAAACTCCAGCCGTCTGAAGCGCAGTGGGGGTGGGGGTGTGTGTGGCATGGGGTAGCTTCTTAATTTCACTCACAGCAACCCCTGCTATGACCTGGAGCTACTCCCTCCTGTGCCCTCCCAAATCTGAGCAACTCCTGAACCAGGAAAGAAATGAAGGGTCCCTGGGAACAGCATCCCACGACACCTGAGCATTTTCTCTCTGGCCAGGGCAGAGAACAGGTCTTCATTTGCCAAGGCTAGAAGTGCACAGGATACTCGTGGGCCTGGCCCACAGCACTAAAGCTCTGACCTTTTCTGTTTTCCCAGCCTGGGCTGGTTCACCTCATCACCACTGCTGGCTGCCAACCTCAAGAGAAGCCACAGAATCTGAAAATGTCAGCACTCAGAGGCCACCCAGTTTGGCCTCCTCAGTTTAAAGATAAGGACACAAAGTCCCATAGACATCATACGGTGAATTAGATGCTGGACTCAGAGGAAATTTTGCTGTGAAAAGGAAAAAGCCTGGCAGGAAGAGACGAAGCCAAAGGGAGAAAATAGGCCATGTGCGTCTCCCAGTCTATGTAGAACAGCAGCCAGAGCTGGGCAGGAGCCCCAACCTCTAGGGCAGGTCTTCTTCACCTACCTAACGTCCTGGGCCCCCTGACAGGTCTATGGACCCCTTCTCAGAAACATGTTATTAAATGCACAAACTCCAATGCATAGGATTACAAAGGAAACTGAGTCATCGGAACACTCTGGGTCTGGCTGAGTCAGTCATCACTCCCAAACACCAAACTCCTTCCCCCTGCAAGGTAGCAACCACGGGCTTCTGCATCCTGGGCCCGAGGACAGCAGGTCTGTCACTGGAAGAGCTTCCCAGGGACAGAGGACGGATTGTCTACTGCCTGAGGGGACACCTGGATATGCCTCAAGAAGCGCTCCACCACCTGGCTGGAGGGGGCTGACACTGGGGGCAGCACTGACTCTGTAGGCCCAACATCAACCTCAACCCCCGGGGATCCCAAGCTGAGTTCTGCAAACTTGTTTTTAAAACAATATTCTGATAACTGAACGTGGCATCCTCTGCAGCCTTCTATACTTCACTCTACATTACAAACGTGATTCTTCACCAGCCTGCCCGCCACAGGGGCCCAGGAGATAAACGAGGTGAAGGACCCCATTTACACACTAATGAAAGCATGGGTCTTTGAGGCAGTGGACAGCCTCTGGACATCTGTGGACGAGGGCGATGGGTCCTCTTGGGCCCTGTGCAGCCATCCCACCGAGAAGCGGATGGCTCAGCCCCCCCCCCCCCCCCCGGCAGGGTCCCCAGGTCCTTTCTGGCCTAAAGGTCTATGAGGAGAGGCCAACACATCCTCAGTGCAAAGCTTCTGGCCTCCAGGAGAGCAGCCAAGGAAGGCAGGGCCAAGGGGCGCACCCCAGGGGCCTGATGCCCCACTTCATGAGCTATCTCCTTGGAGGATACATAAGGACACTGTGTGTTCTGGCTGCAAGGGGATGTAGAAGGAAGCCTTGCCACTCCAACTGGCTCAAGTGGCAGAAGAGAAAGCCAGGGCTGAAGCCAAGGTGAGGGTCGGGGAGGAGGGAAGAGGAGTCGGCTTCCTCAGGACCAGGAGGGCTGGCCGCAGGGCTCCCTGCCACTGGGGATTTATGATTGCGGGCCCCACTCATCCTTCTTTCTGGAGTTCACTCACAGGTCAGGCATCTTTACAAAAAGGCAATTAGCAGAGAGCTCTTTGGGGTCTTAGGAGAGGAAACGAGCCCGATAAATCTCATAAATAAATGGCTGCTGAAGCCCAGGCAGCTGGAGGGTAATTACTCAGTGTTGACTGGAGCCCTTCTGTTCCCTGGGGTGGGTGGGAGAGCGACACCGTCTCAGCCGCTGTTTTAGGGAGCCAAGAAGCAATTTGTGACCACAAGTAGGGTGGCACAAACTGGGCTCAGACCCAGGGATCTCCAAACACCTCGTCTAAATGCCGCCTCTATGGCTACTCCACTCAGTCAACACATCTGCACTATGCACCTCCTGTGTGCCGGGAAGCTACCAACTTAAGGGAGGGGGGCGAATCACAGTGTCGTCCCTGAACCCCAGCCACGCTCAGAGCCGGGAGGGAGGAGAGGGAATCTCTCTGGTGTCCCATGTGTCTCCCATAGCCCGGACTTCTCTGCTCTGTCTTGCCAGTAAGGCCCAAACCTCCATTTCCTCTCTTGTTTCTGGGCTTAAACGAGTCAGTCTGACATCCGGCTCCAGCTTAATAAATGTCTGCTGAGCTGTTCAAGGCCGTCAAGGCAGTGGGGAGGCTGAGCAAGATGGGCCAAACGCCCTAATCCTCCCCCAGAGCAGGCCAGCCTCTGCCCACCCATCCTCCTTCCAACCACTGCTGCAGATCTCTGCGAACGAGAAGGGCCTCAGCAGCCCTTCCCCCTTCTCTGAGCTACTGTGGTCAGTCCAGACAGGCAGGCTAACACTTTTTAAACAGACCCAGGTCCCATCCTTTGCCCAGAAAGGGGCAGCAGGAAGGAGCTAAAGAAGAGGTGCTAGCTGAGTGAAGTGAGCAGAACCAAGAGAACGTTGCACACAATAACAGTCATGTTGTGTGATGACTAATATTGATAAACTTAACCCTTCCCAGCAATACAATGATCTAAGACATCTCCAGAGGCCTTGTGATGGAAAATGCTATCCACACCCAAAGAAAGAACTATGGAAGTTGAACTGCTATTTTTTTTCTCTTCTGTTGAGTTTTGTTTCCTCTTTCTGATGGTTCCTCCTATTGGTTTTAATTTTTACTTACAACATCACTAATATGAAAATGTTTAATATGAATGTAAATGTATAGCCTATATCAGACTGTGCACCATCTTGGGGAGGGTGGTGGGGAAGAAGGGGGAGAAAAATTTTAAACTCAAAAGCATATGGAAGTGATTATTGATAAATCAAAATAAATTAATAAAAAAATCTAAAAAAAGAGGTGCTAGGATTCAGCTGTGGGGCGAGGCTTTCTCTGCCAGCCGGCGCTGAAGGCTCAGACAGGGCTCCCAGTGAGGCAGCCCCTTGGAGCAGAGGCAGGCCAACTCCTGGAGGAGCCAGGGAGAATGCAAAGGGCACAGACTGTACGGTCCCCAAAGAGAATTGCCACACGCCAACTACAAACTGAATTAGCAAAGTTAGAAAGAGGAAGTGGGACCTGAATGAAAAGGTGGGAGAGGATGCCCCCAAGCTGCCCCTCCGTGGAGACGGGAGGGCCACGGGGGTTCACACAGTGCACCTGTTCTCAGATTTTTTCAATGTAACCATTAGCTGTGCTGGGGATTGTTTTTCTCTAAAAAATACTTTTTGTTTCATGGGAGGGCTTTCTGGGAAGGATACTTGGGATAACTACGATGACAAACAGAAGACATCATTAAGACTCATTTTAAAAAAATCTGGTCCTCCTTTCTGTACCAGGGACTCATGATTCCACTCATGAGCAGAGACAGAAACATTTGGAGAATGTTGAAAAACTCAACTTCTTGACTCCCCCTCCCCCAGGGGAAGGGCTCAGCTCCAACCACCTTCTTCCTTTCCTGGCCGTATCTGCGTTCCTAGGAGATAGGCAGCGGGTGAATGCCTAGGGGGACCGCGAGCCCTATGCTGGAAAAACAAGGGAGCGCTGTGGATCGGGGACCCCTCCCTACCTTTGTGGCTCACGGTCCGAATGCACTGTTTGCTCTGGATATCCCACAGTCTCACCGTTTCATCGTGTGAGCCTGATAGCAACAGGCTGCCGTCGGCCGACACCGAGAGACACGTCACCTGGTTCCTAGGGACAGAGGGACAGAGAATGGTACCTGGTTCTGAGGAAACAGAGGGAATGACAGACGCAGTGGGTGGCCAAGGAGGAGGCCCCTGCCCTCTCCTCCACCCAGCCTATAGGACATGACTTGATTCACGAGCACAGAGAAGCCGCCTCCCCTCTGTCAGCCTCCTCACCGGTGTCCTTTGAACAGCTTTCCATTCTCCTGCTCAGGGCGGAAGGTCTTCTCTCTCTGCCCAGGCTACAGGAGTCAAGCAAGAAGGAAAGGGAACAGGATGAGGTAAAGGAGGGGCCGAGTTCACAGCCGATGCAGATAACAGGCATTTCAAGAGCTCCTTAAAGCTTGCAGAGAACACTCCATCCATGATTAGCCCCTAGGAGTCTCACAACAGCCTGAGGAGGCAGGTGCTACATTGTTATTATCCCCATTGAACAGATGAGCAAACCGAGGCTAAAGAAGTTATAAGACTTGCCAATGCTAAGAGTCAGGGTCAGGTTCTGAACCCCAGCACATTTTTCAATGTACATCCCACCAGGGAACACAGAGACTTGGGAGATTCCAAATTGCTACCTGGGCAAAACGGTGTGTTGCTGGGGGCTCTGGTCAGGAGGCAAACAGGCCAGTGAAAGAACTCACTGTCTTGGCTCGGCTGCATGCCAAGCAGGGCGGGGGATGTGAATGCAGCCTGAAAAAAATCCCTGGGGAAATCAGCCAAGAACCCCGGATGAGTCCAAAGCCCACGTACTTGTAGGAGCAGGAGGGGATGGATGGGCTGCTGGCTTTTCTCCCAAATACTCACCCAAGAGAAAAGGTCAACTTGGAACACAGACCCATCGCTGCCCCCGCAGAACAGGTGGTACTCAGCCAGGTCCATCGTCACAGACATGATGGCCATATCGAAGAGAACAGAGAGGAGCAGTTCACCGGAAGAGATCTCCCACAGCTGGTGGGGGCAGAAATACAAGAAGGACCAGACTATGGAGTCTTGAGATTGATTTGGAGGTTAAGAGCAGAAACTAAAACATCTGGTGTCCTAAGACCTAGAACTGGAAGGAAACTTGAATATTATCTAACCTAACCCTCCGTATTTTATAAGTTGGAAGGGACTCGTCCAAGGTCACTCGGGTAGTAAAGCAGGAGAATCAGAATTCACACCCAGGTTCTGCCTCCAAAAGGCAATCTTTAGGCAGCGAGCGACAAAGGTGCCCACCAGACATTAAGGGCAGAGACAAGTCATCAGCTTGGGAGGTTTTCACTTCCCATTCTATTGCCACAGGGGACAGATGAGCCAAGAGGCACAGGAGGACCCCAAGAACCAGGGTTCTTGCTTCCTGTGCAGCTCCTGGGAAGGTGGCTGGGATGAAGGAGGACTGAAATGCCAACATGTCTGTGGCACTATGGGTCTTCACAGACCAAGCAATATTTCTTTCCTTAAATGATTCATTACTTGGATTGTGAGACACTGGTTAAATTTCTGGGCCTCAGTTTCCTCATCTGCAAATTGGCAAAATGATAGGGTTGGGCAAGAGAATCATTCTAGTGCCTCCTAGTTCCGAATCCCATGACACTAAGAACTTCCACTCTACTGCTGACAATGCAAGAGATCTAGGTTGAGAGGGAAAGGGAAGATGAATAATAACCTGCCAGCGAGAGGGACAGGGGCAGGGCAATGCGGAAATCACACCACCTCGAATCTGACCACCTCCCAGGCTGAGTAATCAAGGCCCATTCCTGGGAGAGGGTCACGTTGCACCTTTCCCTGTGAGCCAATTTCTAAGCCCTACTCTGGCTGCCTAGATTCTCCCAACGGAACCCATCAGACAAGGGGCTCATTTCGTCCTGGGAAAGCAAACGCTTCACCTCTAGTATCGTTCCTCCCCTTCGCTAGCACTTTGTGCAAACTATTGCTGGGGACAAGCCCCTCAAATCTCTTGGAAGTTATTCTGGGTAAGGGGCCAGATCATCTCTGTGAGATGCAGAGGCTGATGAACAAACGGGAATGACCAAGCAGGAAGAAATACAGATGTGCTGTGTGACAGCTTCTCTCTGAACAAGGAGAAGCTATAAACCTACAAGGCCTCACAGTTCTTAAGAGACAGCAGAGGGAAAAAAGCCTGCTGGTATTGGCAAGACTCCATCACTTAAAAACAAAAGCCCAAACCTGAACTGACTGCAAAAGACATCTCCCAGGACTAGGCCCAGAAAGACTTTAACTCTTCAGAGCCCTCAGCCTGCCCAGACTGTGGTCACTGACAGGTCAGTCGCAACTCTGAGCGGACGGAGATTCTAGGAAGTACACGTGCCAGGTCTTACCTTCACCGTCTGGTCCAAAGAGGCAGTGGCGGCTCGGGCTAAGGGCCCCCCAAAACCACAGTGCAGATCTGTGATGGGAAGAGTGTGCTGAGACCACACATGGCGGGGATCAGGAACTTTGGACTGTTCCACCTGCAACACACTAGGGCAACGGAGAGAAAAAGAGAGAGGCAGTAAACCTGGAGGAATAAACTGCCAACTCCCACTGGTTCTCCCACCCGGCTCAGGAAGGCCATGGATACCCAAGACAACAGCGGGACCAGGGCTCTCCTTACCTGTGGAGGCTCCACACCAAGGCCAGGCAGTCTTTGCCACCCGAGAGGAAGTGACTGCTGTCATCCGTGAACGCCAGGCAGGAAAGGTCTTGGTAGTGTCGGTTCAGGATGGCCAGGAGGTTCCCTGTGGAAACCTGAGAAGGAGGTGAGTGAGGTTTTGGCTCTACAGACAGGAGAGTGAGGACATGGAAACCGTCCCCAACGGCCCAGACATCAGATCCAGAGCCAGGAGACCTGGGTCCCCAGCCCCAATCCCACCTCATGGAGGCCTGCGGCTGGGGACAAGTCACTCGGCTCTCTTCATGCTCTGTTTTCCCCTTTATAGGTGGGGATGATTGCACTTGCATCATCCATCCCCTGGGGTTGTTGTGGAGAAAGCACATCATTAGCCTTAATTCTAGGGTCCTCCAGTAGAACATAAGCTCCTGGAGGGCAGAGACTGGTTTTTGGCCTTACTGGTATCCTCAGTGGTGAGCCCAGCACCTGGTGCTTAATCAATGCCTGCCGACTGACCACGGCAAGCACACAGGAAGCAGCATCAGTAGAGCTGATCTCGAACCCTGATATCAGGAGGGACTGCCTGGCTATGTGGGGGGAGGAGGAGATCCCCAGACAGGGAGGTGGAGGACCCACACGTCCTAGCTCTGAGCTTCCTACATCTCAAAATAAAGACAATCATTCTGCTGCCTCCTTTTAGGAGGAAGATATGCCTTAAAGCTGCTATGCACATGGGAATGATCAGAGCAAACCAAGCTCACATCTGGTCTGGTGTCTCTCCTCTCTGCACATTTACGGCCCTTGAAGCCAGCACTTCTTGGCACGTGACCAACCCAAGGACTCTGGGCCCCTGACTGGGTTGCCTCTCTCCAAATTCACCAGTAATCTTGAGAGCCCAGACTAGCTCTGACTGTTTTCTTACATCCCCAGCGTGCCTTGCTTGCTCATAATGACTAAGAAAGTCATATTATCCTTTGAGAGTGACAGGACGGCCAGGTGCTCTGAGGGGATTCTGGATGGGAAGACACCCCAGGAAGATGTGAATTTAATCTTGTCAAAAAATGCTCACCGACTGAGGAATGGCGAAACAAGCTGTGGTATATAATTGTGATACAACACTACTGTGCTATAGGAAATGATGAGCAGGCTCTGGAGTCAGGAAAATCCAAGTTCAAATCCAGCCTCAGACACTTATTAGCTAGGTAAGTCACTTAAACCTGAATACTGTCCCCCCATCTCCCCCAAAAAACCCCCAAAACAAACAAAAAAGAAATGAGCAGGTTAGGTTCAGAAAAAACCTGGGAAGATTTATATGAACTGATGCAAAGTGAAACAAGCAGAACGAAAACACTGTGCAGCACAGGAACGGTAACGCTGTAATGCGATCAACTGTGAAAGACTGCCCTACTCTGATGAAAACCATGATCCAAGACAACGCCGAAGTACCCACGTACTTCGTGGGTAAATGTTATCCACCTCCAGAAAGAACTGATGAACTCCTGAGTGCAAACTCAAGTGTAATTCTTTTCACTGTATTTTCTCTCTTTGGCAACATGGCCAATATGGAAATGCTTTGCATGATTTCACATGGACAATTAATATCATATTGCTTGCCTTCTCAATGGATGGGGGAGAGGTTGGAGGGGAGATAATTTGGAACCCAAAATTAAAAAAAAAAAAAAGTGTTAAAAATAAATAAGTTGAAAACCAAAACCAAAACAACAACAAAAGAACTCCCTACCCGTGAGGACTAACCAGAGGCAGTTGGATGGGCTGGCTTGGGAGACAGTTCCCCTCCCAGGGGAGGCTGGATGGCCTCTTGTAGGAAGGGCTGTAGAGGGGACACCTATCAGGTGCTCGTAGGACCAAAGGGACCCTTAGACTTCTTCCAGCCCTGGGACTCTGTCTCTCCTGCAAGGCTGGCCATCTGAGCATGTCACATGTTCCCCAGATCCCTGGTGCTTACCCACAGGGACTTTTGGGAACTTCACTCTCATCAATTTGCTCCCTTCTTTAGCCAATGGAGGAAAACAAACAAAGAAACACCACCAGCAGCAACAAAACAGCTCAGCAAAGGGCAATGCACACACAAGCTCCAGCCAGGCTGGCCTACCTGCAGTTGCCCTTATAGAACATTCCATCTCCAGCTTCCACCAATTTACACAAGCTGGTGCCCATGCCTGCAGCACTCTCCCCATCCTCTCGGCATCCGAGCTCCCTTTAAGGCTCATCTTAAGTGCTGGAGAGGCCTGGTCTGACCCACCAGGGGCCAGTGCTCTCCCTACCCCTCTAATTGCCTTGCATTTACTTTATTCATGCTGGAATGTCCTTGGGGTCTGCATGCATGCTGTTTTCCCTTCCCATTTCAGAGGATGAAGAGTCCTGGAGAGCAGGGCCTATTTCACTCTTTGTCTGTGTGTCCCCAGCACAGTGCCTGACTGAGCACAGAAGACGTGCTTAACAACTGCTTGCTAAAACGAAGCCCACCTACTCTCATCAGAATTGGCTTAACGAGGGAGTAACAAACACACTCAGTTGGGTATGGAAATCTATCCTGCCCTACAGGAAAGTAGGGGGAAAGGGATGGGGGTGGGAGGGATGGATAGAAGGAAGAGCTGGGGGAGGGGGTCAGCAGAAGCAAACACTTTTGAGGAGGGGCAGGGTCAAAAGAGAATGGAATAAATGGAGGGCAGGATAGGATGGAAGGAAATATAATTAGTCTTTCACAACACAACTATTATGGAAGCGTTCTGCATGACTACACAAGTATAACCTATATCAAATTGCTTGCCTTCTCAATGAGGGGGGTGGGGAGGGAGGGAGAGAATTTGGAACTCAAGGTTTTAAAAACAAATGTTAAAAATTTGTTTTTTACATGGAAATGTGGAAAAAATAAAATACCAAATAAAAAAAATTAAAAACAAAAATTGAAGCCCACAATGGGCTGGCTCTGCCTGGCCCCCAGCCTAGATTCCAAGAGCAAAGCCTGCCCTCTCATGGTCACAGAAAACACCTTCACAAACACTGAGAAAACATGACTCAAGGTTGGTGGGGCAAAGGGACCTTCGAGATCACCCAGTCCGACCATCTCATTTTAAAGGGGAGGAAACTCAGAAAGGTGGAAATGAGCTCCCCACAGTCAGACAGACGGCAAATATCAGAGCAGGGATGTGAGCCCACATCCTGGCTCCCAAATTCAGGGCTCATGCAGCTATCCCCGGGGGCTTCCTCCTCCTTGAGGTTCACTTTAAAGTCCCCATACAAGGCAAAGGCTCAAGCCCATCACCCAAGGAAGGCAGGGAGAAGGCTCTCCAGGCAGAAGCCTCTCGGTCTGCAGCCCTGGAGGACATCATGGACTACTCAAATACTCCACTCCAATAGTCTCAAATAGACTAGAACCCTTTAACAATGGTCATATTGAGAATCAGAACTATCTAAGGTCCTTGTCTTAAAGGCAGGCGTATGCAAGTCTGTAGGAAAAAGTGTTTCGGGAAAAACCAAACATTTATCCAAATCCATAGACTGGGCTGCACTACAATGAGGTTTTATTGGATTTAAAATTTATTTAATTTGGCCAATGTTTCAAGGGCCTACAACTGCACAAGTGCTAGGGCCAAGTGGAGGCAGGTAGGTGGCGAAGTGGATAGAGCAATAGAGTCAGGAAAGCCCAAGTTTGAAGCCTGCCTCAGATACCAGCTGTGTGGCAGTGGGCAAGTCACCTGACCTCCCTCAGCCTCAGGTTCCTCATCCGTAAAATGAAGGTAACAATAGCCCCTCGCAGGGCTGTTGTGAGATTAAATGAGATCATATATGTAAATTGCTTTGCAAAGCTTAAAGTGCCACATAAATGCTAGTTATTATTATCATCATCATTATTGTTATTAATGCTACGGGAAACAAAGACAGATCCTGTTCTACAGATGCTTACTGGGCAGTGGGAAGGATAAGGGGTGAGGGATCTGACAAGTTTGAAGGGTTCAGGCCCCTCTGAGGCCTATGGAGTACAAGGATGCCTGGAGCTCCCTGGGTAAGAAAGAAGTTTAGGGGTAGCTAGGTGGATGCAGTGGATAGAGCACCAGCCTATCAGGTCAGGACGACCTGAGTTTAAATCTGGCCTCGGACACATAACACTCACTAGCTATGAGACCCTGGGCAAGTCACTTAACCCCAACTGCCCTCACCAAAAAAGTTTAAAGCCTAACCAGCGATAACGATTTAACTCAGAGGTGTCCTGTGATCCTGAATGTGCTATAAAAAGGTGAGTTATTAATAACCTGTACTCCCAGAGCATGGCAAACCCCCTAAATGAGATCTGTAATCATTCAACCTAACCATCCTGAAAAAGTAACCCAGGGAACAGCGTGGAGGAGCAGAGAAGCGAGGAGAGGAGCAGGGTCTACTGATGGATGGCCAGCCCAGAGGTCTGGCTGTCAGGAAACAGACGGACTGCAAACGGACAAGGAGCTGTGCCCAGAATTCACCAGGAAAAGAGTGGGCAGGCCTGCCTTTAGCAATCTGCAGGGCTCTGAATGACCCCAAGCTTCTCCCTGAAACAAGGGCTCATCTCATTCTTATGATGCTGTCGCATCACACAGAGGGCAGTGGAGAGGTGGGCTTGGGTGAGTCACAACACACCCCCAAGAACTGAGAGGGAAGAAGAGTCAGTAGAGACCAGGAAATAAGGTAGACAGTCACTTATGAAGAGCAAGGATAGACAGCACCATTGGTGACCATGTCATGTCAAGAGAATGGAGGATGGTCACTAGAACTTTGTATGTGCTCCCAAGGAAGACCTACACGGAGGATAGAGGAGTCTCCATGGAAGAGGGCATAAATGGGTTCAATCTGCTTTATTAGCAGAGTGCTTGGCACATAGCAGGTGCTTAATAAATGCTACTTAACTGACTGACAATGGTGAGGTCACATATCCACAGCAGAAGATTCTGGTCCCTAAGTTAATTTTTACTGCACCAAAAATAAGCATTATTTCTGTCAAATTAGCATAGCTAGACCATTCCAAAGACAGGTTCTCCATCAATAACGTGCCAAGGGAGAAGACATCACCCCAATCATACTGTGCTATCTAAGAAGAGCCTAGCCAATTACATAGAATTCAGACAGGTCAGTGGCTATGCCCTACATATGGCCATTGGAATCCTGTGTCGCCCTGAGGGAGCAGAGTATGAAGAAGTACATCAATTCAACAAGTGCAGACTGGAAGTGTGGCTAGATAGCAGCTAATCTGAAAAGGATCTAGGGGTATCAGAGGACCACAAGCTCAGAGTTAAGAGCATGAAAAGACAATGCAACCATAAGCTGCTTTGTGTGTGTGTGGGGGGGAAGAGACATACTATTCAGAATGAGGGAGGGGTTGGTCTCACTGTGCTCTGCCCTGGTCATACTGTTGGTCTGCATTCCATCTCCCTCTATTAGGCTGGAACCTCAAGGGCAGGGAATGACTTTTGCCTTTCTTTGTGTCCCCAGCATTTAGCACAGTGCACCACAGCAAGTGCTTAATAAATGCTTGTTGTTGTTGTTATTGGTCCTGTATCTAGAGTTCTGTGTTTAGATCTGGGTGATACCAGCTGGTGCTTCCTCGGGACAGCAACCAGGCCAGTGAAGGCCTCAGAGTCATCCAATGGGAAAGAAAAGACATCATGACAGCCGTTTGAGGGCTATCTGGTGGAAGATGGGTTAGAATTGTTCTGCTTGGCCAGAGAGCTAGGAATAATGGGTAGAAATTGCAAAAGTACAGATTTTGACTCAAGGGAAAAAATCCTAACAATTAGAACAATCCCCAAATGGAAGTAGCAAGTTCCTCCTCCTAGTGGCCACGGAATCCTAGATCTTGATCTCAAAGGGACCTGTAGTCCCATTTCTAGTCTAACTCCTCATTTTACGGAGGATGACACTGAGGCCCAGGGTAGTGAAGTGACTTGCCAGGGTCATGTGGCTAGTGTCTGAGGCAGGATGTACACCTAGACAGTCCTATCTCATGCTCACTGCCCTTATTCATTATGCCAGGATACCTGCTTTTCAAAAATTAGTTTTGTTTCTAAATTTTGAACTTAAAACACCAAAGACACGAACATTTCCATTTGTAAAGAATACAAAAAGTTGTACATGAAACCTGAACGTCCATCTTGTACCCTCAGCTTTTTAAAAAATAAAAGGGACAGACTGCCACTGTATTTTGGGCGAGGTGGTTTGTCCTGCTTGGGCTTGCCCTGGGTCACCCAGATTCCTGGGCAGAGCTCTCCCTCCTGACGCTAGGCCCCTTGGTTCTTTGGGGTTCAGAATGCTGTGTCTGCAGGGCCTCAATGGCACCTGAGAATGCAGTGCCAGAGACCTTGGAACTCGTGGGTTCCTGGGCTGTCCTGGTTACAGAGCTGGGGCTGCTCCTCTGGACTTCCAAGGTCCCCTCGTGGGATTCCAATCATGCTGGAGCTTTCTCAGGGTAGGCCTCTGCTCCTGCTGACTCCAGACAGCGCCTTAGAGGCTACTGGTGTTTTGGGCCCATCTCTGCTCATGCTGGAAGGTTACTGGCTTTGCTGACAACTCTTTCCTATTGCCTGTAGGCTCCTGGCTGACTTTCTGTGCAGGCCTGGAGTGGAAGTAGTCACTCACTACATTTTCTCATTGGATTTCTGGATTATTTTCTGGTCTGGTGCAAACTTTAAGGTTTTGCTATCACAGCTGTGTGGGAGCTGGGTGCCTGGCCTCCATTCAGCAAGTCAGTCTGGCTGCATATTCCCTAGGTAATTTCTCTATACCAAGTCTGTACTTGTTAGGGAAATAGCGGTCAAGTAGGAGTCAGAAGACAGCCTCAGGGGTTCCTTCCAACTCAAAAATTCTGTGACCCTCCAGGCTACCAACGGAGTAGTCCTGATTACACTCCCCTCTACCTCTGCCCCAGTCTCTGTTAAGCTACAACACCTTTCTTTTTTTTTCAAAGGATTACAATTATATGGTGCTTTGAGTTTTTAAAATGAGAGCGGTCACTGAATAAAAGAAGGAGAGCCCTCAGTGGGCCTCTCGAAGGAAGCAGGAATGCCCTTTATAGCATCTGTGACAGGAGGGCATCCAGTCCCTGGAGACGGGCCAAGTTCAATGTTACCCTCAATATTATTAAATATATTACAACTGAGGTAGAAAAAAATGATCTTGGAACAGAGTGGCCTGCTTGGTGTTCTGCTGGAATGCTACACAGGACTCTGAGGTGGAAGAAATGAGCTTTGTTGCTTATTCTTGGTGAGACCCTGATCAAGTCAGTGGGTCTCTCTAAACCTTGGTTTCCCCATCTGTAAAATGACACTATAAACACGTATCTGCATGGCCTACTTCACAAGGATCACTGTAAACCTCCTAAAACAACAGAAAAATATACATCATGTTCCTGCCTTATGTCCTGCGGCAATCCTATCCTAATCCGTTTCTGTGTCTTGGTTTTTTCCCACCAGGAGAAGGGGACCATAAATACTCTTTGCCCCAGCTTTGGTTCACAAGGATAAGAACCTTACATTTCATTGCGGGGAAGAGCTAGCATCTAATAAATCCCCTCTGGAGAAGCACTACAAAGTGTAACGGGAGAAAAGAGGGTTCAAAAATCAGGCACAAAAATGTTGTAATGGGGGACATGCTGAAGGAAAGGGAGGGGGACAACAGATCTCTTTGATTATGTACCTCATGCTAGGAAACATACTTTCCTTAAACAAAGGAGATGCCTGTTGGTCAGAGAATGGCTAAACCAGTGGTGGTACATGAGTGTAACAGAACATTCCTATGCAGTAGGAAATGCCAAGTGTGATGATGCCAGAGACTGATACAGAGTAAAGTGAGGAGATCCAGGAAAGCACTGCACGGTGAGCAAAACAACATAAGCAGAAAGGCCCATGGCAACGACGAAACTGAAGCTGAGGCTGTAAACGGAAGGACCGAGCTTGGGCCAAAGAGGTGAGAGGAAGGGGAACGGTGAGACGACAGGTGGGCAACACCACCACCACCATCCAACTTTTCCCATGCATTGGTCAGTTTTACTGAACAACTGTATCCTTCATTCTTCATTCTAAGGGATGGCCAAGTGTTGTGGTGGGGAATACTTTGGGAAATATAGGTGATACAAAAACAAAATACATCAAACACTTTTCTAAAAGCCTAATTTTCCCATGCCCATATTAATGGACTCCCAGGGAAGTAATCTTAACAATAAATAATTAAAAAGTATTTAATACTTTTTAAATTATTATTAAATTATTATTAAAATACTTTAAAAAGTATTTTAATAATAGCCCAAGTGATATATAATTAGGAAAATAAATTTGCTGCTCACCCATGACAATGCTGCATATTATTTTGGGGTTCTCTATTGTATTGTTATGTAGGCTAAAACTAAAAACTTGCTGTAGATAATTTGCAGGTGTGAGAATAGAACATGAACTCTCTCTCTCTCTCTCTCTGACTCTCTGTCTCTCTCCCTCTCTCTGTCTGTCTGTCTGTCTCTCTCTCTCCCTCTCCCTCTCCCTGAGGTAAACCTGCTATTCAGAGATACCAGATTAACAGATTGAATCTCAAGGCTGCAAAGCTAACCATGAATCCCCAAAGGAGAGACTCGGGAAGACTTGGGTGACCCTCAGCAAATCACTTACCTTCTGTCTGCCTCAGTTTCCTTAACTGTCTTCAATGAGGACAATAATAACACCTACCTCCCAAGGTTGTTGTAAAGATCAAATGAGACAGTATTTCTAAAAAGTGCTTAGCACATTGCCTGGCACACAGTAGGCACTACATAAATGCTTACTTTCCCCACCTCCCCTCAAAGGCAAGTTCAAACCAAAGGGACAGATTTTTGGACAATGGTGGAAAAGGCAAGAGTGGGGTCTTTGATTCTGGCCCTAGAAGATGGAGGACTCCAATTCTGAGCGCCAACAGACAAAGCCAGATAATTCTGTCATTGAAAACAGTATTGATCCAGCCTCAGGAGAGGATTTCCACTCCACAGCCAATGCTGTTCAACCTAAGATATCCTTACCTCCCATAAGTATATGCTTTCTGCAATGCCTGCCAGGACATAGAGGCCATTGGGAGCCGCAGTCAGACACGTCACCAGTCCGGGGCACACAATCTTCTGTTGAAGCTGATCCTGTGGGGAATACGACACAGATGGGGTTGGCACTGAGCTGATGAAGAGACTCATTCTCCTTTGTCTGTCTCTGAGCAACAAGGCTACAGTTTGTCTAGCAGAGTAAGCATTCACCATACCCCTCTGCTGAAACGGATGAATAGAAGGTGAGAGGCCAGTCAGGCCAGGCTGTTCAAGTGTGGATAGGGACATGTTAAGGCAAGGAAGTGAAGACATTCCACCGCCCCACCCCCAAGGCCGAAATTCCAAGAAGAGACAAGTGGGGCCTAGGGTGGAACCATCACTGTAAGACACACACTTCTTAAAGAATGTCTACTGTGTCTATGCTTCCTGGAACAGAGAAGGAGGCAAAGTAGATATGTAGATAGTTACACCTGGGAGTTAGCAGAGATCGGGGTTAAAAATGGTCTCCAACAATCACTAGCTGGCAGCTTTGAGCAAGTCACTTAAACTTGCTGAGTCTCAGTTTCATCTACAAAACAGGAGTAGCAGCACATTAAGTAATGAATGAAAAAGCATTTATTAAGTGCTTACTGTGTGCTAGGACTTGCCCTGAGGACACAAATATAAGAAAGGCAGAGATTCTTCCATTCTAGTGGAAGGTGACAGCTATAACGGGGGTTAGGTGGGGGATGGAGGGCCAGGGACACATTCTCACCCTGGGCAAGATGAGGTCAAAGGTCACCTCTCAGAGCCCAGAGGGGAGGTGGCACGGTTTGGAGATGGCTGGGAATATTGTGCTTTGTAGATATTGCAGGGCTTTTTTTGTTTTGTTTTGTTTTTTACAAATTGAAGGTTTACAGCAACCCTATGTCCAGCAAGTCTATTGGTGCCACTTTTCCGACAGCATGTGCTCCCACCGTGTCTCTGAGTCACATTCTGGTAATTCTCACACTATTCCAAATGTTTTGTTATAATATCTGGGATTAGTAATCTTTAATGTTACGATTGTAATTGTTTTAGGGCCCCACTATCTGCACCCACACAAGACAGAGAACTTGATCAATAAACGTTGTGTGTGTTCTGACTGTTCCACTGACCAGCTGTCGGCAGTCCAACGTCCCCCACCCCTCTATTCCCTGAGACACAATAAGAATGAAATCAAGTCAATTGATAGCCCTACAATGGCCTCTAAGCGTTCAAGTGAAAGGAGTCAATCGATGGGGCGAACTTCATTGTTGTTGTATTTTAAGAAATTGCCACAGCCACCCCAATCTTCAGCAGCCACCAACATCGAGGCAAGACTCCACCAGCAAAGAGATTACAGCTTGCTGAAGGCTCAGATGACAGTAGGTTTTTTTTTTTAGCAATAAAGTATTTTTTAACTAAGGTATGTACATTGTTCTTTAGACTTAATACCATTGCATACTTAATAGACTACAGTATAATGTAAACATAACTTTTACATGTAGTGGGAAACCAAAAAATTTGTGGAACTCGCTTTATTCTGATGTTCACTTTATTGCAGTGGAACACACAATTTCTCCAAGGTATGGCTGTAATATTCTCATGAAAGCTAAAGGCCCCCTATAAAATGAGTTATTATGCAAAGATATATAAGAACCTTAGATAATGGGAAAGGAATTCAAACATTTATTCAACATCTCCTTTGTACAAGGTGCTGGGAATGCAAAGGGGGAAGCATATTTAAAAACCTTTATTTCAGTTCAACTGAAAATATTAGGAAATAAATATTTTTCTAGTATGAAGTCCTTTCCATACTGTTTATAAGGGTAAGAACAAAAGCTAAGGCCCCTGTGACTAGGAAATGCCTTTTGTCTAATTAAGATCCTGGCCTTGCCCAACCCTAGAAGGGATGAAGGTTTTAACTCTTTTAAGCAAAGTATCTGGATTACTATCATTCCCCCGTCCCCCCATCACTGCCTTGGTGTGTCAGAGGGGCCTGAGTACCTCAATGAAACTATGAGCTATGCTGTGAGGAGTTACTCAAAACAGACAGATCATAATGGATGAGCCTTTTGAAATGAAATGGCAAACCACTCCAGCATCTGCCAAGAAAACCCCACGGACAGTACTAAAATGATAAAAGAGATGACACTGGAAGATGGGCCCCTCAGGTACAAAGGTGTTCAACACATTACTGTGGAAGAGCAGAGGACAACTCTTAAGTCGCTCCAAAAAGAATGCGCCAAAGCTGAAAGGAAGTTCAGCTGTGGATGTGTCTGGTGATGAAAGCAAAGTCCAGTGCTGTAACGATGAATACTGCACAGGAACCTGGAATGTGAGATCCATGAGCCTTCAGGGTAAGCTGGATGCGGTCAAACAGGAGATGGAAAGTTGAAACATCAACATCTTGGGTGTCAGTGAACTTAAATGGATGGGAATGGGTGAATTTAATTCAGGTGATCACTATATATACTATTGTGGGCAAGAATCCCCTTGGAGGAAATGGAGTAGCCCTCACAGTCAACAGAAGAGTGAGAAGGACAGGACTGGGATATAATCTCAAAAATGACACTGATTAGAATCCAAGGCAAACCACAAGTCCATGCTCCAACCACTGATGCCAAAGAGGCATCAGTTCTACAAACACCTATAACATCTTCTAGAAATAACACCAAAAAGGGTGTCACATTCATTGCAGGGGAATGAAATGCTTAAGAAGGAAACCAAAAGATCATTGGAATAACAGGCAAGTTTGGTCTTGGACTACACAATGAAGCAGGGCAGAAACTAACAGAGTTTTGTCAGGATAACTTGATGGTCACAGCAAATACTCTTTCAACAACCCAAAAGGTGACTCTACATAAGGACATCACCAGATGGTCAATATCCAAATCAGACTGATTATACGCTTTACAGCCAAATGTGGACAAGCTTTATATAGTCAGTTAAGACAAGACCTGGAGCTCTGGCTCAGAGCTTCTTATTGCAAAATTTAGACTTAAATTGAAGAAAGTAGGGAAAATCATCAGACCATATAGCTATGACCTAAGTAGCATTTCTTATGAATACGAAGTAGAAGTGATGAATAGATTTGAAGGATTAGATCTGGTAGATAGAGTACCTGAAGAACTATGGACAGAGGTCTGCAGCATTATACGGAGGCAGCAACAAAAAACATCCCAAAGAAAAAGAACAACAAAGCAAAATGGTGGTCTGATAAGGCTTTACAAAAAGCTGAAGAAAAGAAGGAAAGCAAAAGGGAAAGGAGAAAGGGAAAGATATACCCAAATGAATGCAGAATTCCAGAGAATAGAAAGGAGAGATAAGGTCTTCTTAAATAGGAAAGACTCTACAAGAAAATTAGAGCTATCAAAGGGATGTTTCATGCAAAAATAGGCATGATAAAAGACAAAAATGGTAGAGACTTAACAGAAGCAGAAGAGATTAAGAAGAGGTGGGGAGAACACACAAAAGAACCATACAAGAAAGATGCGGAGTGACATCACTGATAACCAGGATGATACGGTTACTGATCGAGAGCCAGATATCATGGAGAATTAAATCAAACAGGCCATAAGAAGCACTGCTAACAATAAGACTAGTGGAGGTGATAGAATTACAGCTGAGCTCTTTAAAATCTTAAAAGATGATGCCGTTAAAGTGCTCCACCCAATATGCCAGCAAATTTGGAAAACTCAACAGTGGCCCCTGGATTGGGAAAGATCAGTTTACGTCCCAATCCTAAAGAAGGGCAATGCCAAGGAATGTCCAAATTACCAAACAACTGTGCTCATTTTACATGCCAGTGAGGTTATACTTAAGATTCTGCAAGCTAGGTTTCAGCAACACACGAACCAAGAATTATCAGAAGTGCAGTCTGGTTTTTGAAGAAGCAGAGGAACTAGAAACCAAATTGTCAACATTCACCAGATTGTGGAAAAAGCAAGGGACCTCCAGAAAAACATCTTCATTGACTATATTACAGTTTTTGACTGCAGCTCACAACAAAATGTGGCAAATCTTCAAAGAGACGGGAGGAATGGATCATCTTAACTGTCTCGGGAAGAACCTTGTATGCAAACCGAGCAGCAACAGTTAGAACCAAACACGGAACACCCAACTGTTTTAAGACTGGAAAAGGAGCATAACAAAACTGTATGCTGTCACCTTACTTATTTAACTGATGTGCAGAGTACATCCTGTGAAATGTCAGGCTGGATGAAGCAAAAGCCAGAATTAAGGTTGCTGGGAGAAATATCAACAATCTCAGATATGCAGATATTCCAGTTTGATGGCAGAAAGTAAAGAAGAATTAAGAAACCTCTTGATGAAGGTGAAAGAGGAGAGTTTAAAAGCTGGCTTGAAGCTTAACATCAAAAAACTAAGTTCTTGGCAACTGGTCCCATCACTTCCTGACAAACAGAGGGTGAAGAAATAGAAGTAGTGTCAGATTTTATATTATTGGGCTTAAAAATCACTGCAGAGAGTGACTGCAGCCATGAAATTAAAAGATGCTTGATCCTTGAAAGGAAAGCTATGGCAAATCTGGAAAATATACTAAAAAACAGAGATATCACCTTGCCGACAAAGGTCCGTATGGTCAAAACTATGGTTTTTCCAGTAGCAACGTACGGCTGTGAGAGTAGGACTATAAGGAAAGCTGAGTGTCGCAGAATCCACGCTTTCAAATTGTGGGTGCTGGAGAAGACTTTTCAGAGTCCCTTGGACAGCAAAGAGATCAAATCAGTCAATACTTAAAAAAATTAATTCAGGTAATTCAATGGAAGTCAAATACTGAAACTGAAGCTTAAATACTTTGGCCACATAATGAGAAGGCAGGACTCCTTGGAAAACACCCTCATGTTGGGAAAGATTAAAGGCAAACGGAAAAAGGGACAGCAGAGGATGAGATGACTAGACAGTGCCATGGGAACAGTGAATGTGAATGAACTTGGACAGACTTAGAGAAGTGGTGGTAGGAGTAGGCAATTAGCATGGTGCCTCTTATCTGGAGAGGCAGAAGGGCCTGGCATGCAACGGTCCACGGGGTCACAAAGAGACAAAACAGTACAACAACAACAAAGGCTGCTTTTTGGTGCCGGATGAGGGTATTGAACACCGGGAGGAGGGCCTTCTGAACCCCAGAGGAGTGCATCAAAGGAGAAAATGAGTAGTTTGAAGAGCCGATTAAGTGACTATTGTTCTATTAAACAGAGAAGAAGGTTAACCCCAAACTGACCTTTTCCCTGTTCAAGACTCCTATAAATGCTGCCTTGTGGGAGAGGGGCATGAGGTGACTCTGCTAGTTTGGGCATTTTTCTCCCCAAAAGAACAAAGCCTGAATTTAGAATGATGTTGATTAATAACTTTCTGGCACGCTTCTACTTAACATTTTTACTTCAACATAAGTATGATAATCTCTATCCCCAAGGAGTTTATTGGAAAGGGAAAGGGGAACTATAACCCCAACATGAGGATAAAACAAAGTGGTGTGTGAAAGGAGAAAAGGAAGCAATTTTTTTTTAAGTACCTTAGGAGAAATTTGAAGAGGGAGGGAAACACTTTAAGAGGAGATAAGAGGAGGGAGGGATACATTCTAGATGCAAAGGCAGGCTTTTATAAATGCCCCTTGTGCATAAAAAGCACGAAGGTAAATAGCATGAAATAAGGCTGGAAGAGTTGCAGACACGCAGGAGAAAGACACCCTAAGGGATATGTATTTTGTCCCCAGACCTATACAAAAAAAAGATTATTTTGAAGGAAGGAAGACTTGGAAAAACCAAAAGTAGAGAAGCCAACTGGAGGTTTTATTACAATACGATAAGACACTACATCCCAGCAGAACAATAAGACAGTTTGTTTTGGGGTTTTATTTTGGTCTCCATTTTCCCGACAATTAGCACGGTGCTTCGTAATTAAACTGAATACTAAAGTAAAATGGTGCCCCATGGGGGTAGAGAGAAGAGATGCTGTCCAAGTAGAATGGAGACTGCTTGGCTAAGGTGGGAGCAGGAAGCAAGATGAGCTGTTTTGGCCTCAGAAAGGAGAAAGAGGAAGAAACAGGGTGTAGCCTAGCCTTAGGTGAGGGGGGGGGCAGGTGGGGTAGAATCCCCAGCTGCCTTCAAAGGCCTAAGTGCCCACCCCTCCAGGAAGCCTCTCTTGATATCCAGCCCCCTGCTAGCGCCTTCCTGCCCTTCTATCCACTTCATATGTTTTGCATTGGCTTACACCAACATACCCTGTACACGTGGTAACATCTCATTCCCTCAGTTACTGGTGCCTCATCCATAACATTTTACTTTGGGTATATTTTACCTGACAGAGGGTGCTTGGGATAGCGCTTAATGACAGAGCCTTCTCTCTGCAATTATCTCCAGGGTATCCTGTCTATATCTTGTTTATACATCGATGTTTTCACGTTGTCTCCCTCATTAGACTCTGATCCCCTTGAAAGGACCATGTTTTTGCCTATCTTTGTGTCCTCAACACTTAGCACAGGGACTGGCATGTGGTAGGAGCTAAATAAATATTTAACTATGGACTGATAGTCACAGTTCTCTATCCCTAGCCCTGATACTTTGTATATACATATACATATATATATACATACTATGTATATACATATACATATATATGTACACTATGTATATACACATACATATATACATATATACTATGTATATGTACATATATATATTTATTCGTTGCCTCCTCCAGCTGAATGTAATCTCTTTGAGGGCAGAAACTTTTCCTTTTATGTCTTTTGTATCTCCAATGCCTTGAGCATAGCAGGTGCTTAATAAATGCTTATTGATTAACTGGTGACCAGAAGACACCTCAAAGATCATCTCGTCTAACACCCTCCTCACAGGGGCCTAGAAACTGAAGCCCGGGGAGGGGAAATGATTTGTCCAAGGTCACTCAGCTGGTGGGAATGGGCAGGACCTGGGCCCATGCCCGCCAGACTCTTGGTCCAGAGCTCTTTCTAGAGGATGGGAAAGGAGGGAATTTTGAGAAAGAGGGAGTGGTTAGGCTGAAGAATGAAAGAGGAAGAGGAGGGCAGGGATGAGGAAACACGTGGGGGAGGAGGAGCACGCACGGTGGGAGCGGAGCACGCACGAGGGGAGAAGTGAGACGCAACCAATGGGAGCCTCGGAGGAGCTCAGCCACGCCCCCTTCTCCCCTCCCCCTCCTCTTCCCCCTTCCCCCTTCCCCTCCCCCTCCCGTTAAGGACAGCCGCGCGCTCTTCGCTCCCTACCCTCGGGGAAGCCCAGGAGCCAGGCTCTAGACTCTCTTTCCCTCACTCCTCTCCCTCCCCCTCCCAAGCTGGCTGCGCTCACCCGGACGTTCAGACCGAACTTTCCCAGCCCAATGCGGGCCTCTCCCCTCCCCGCCGCCACTCTCGCGCCCTCCCGCCCCGCGCGCCTGCGCGAACCTTTCGCTGCAGCTCCCAGGCGCAAATGTAGTTCTTGCCGAGCTGTCCCGCCAGCAGGTGCTCGCCGTTGAGCAGCGCGAGACTGCGGGGCCCGGTCTGCCCGCCACGATACGTATGGAGGCTGGTGCCCGAGTGCAGCTCCCACACGGCACAATTCCACAGTTGGCCGGCTGAGTCCGTACACACCGCTACTTCCACGGGCGCCGCCATCTTTGCCTCCTGCACACTAGCCCCGCCTCCCTGCCCGCGCGGTGCGGTGATTAGCCGAAGCGTAGCCCCGCCCCCTGCTCTGGTTGGAGCAGGGGAGAGTGAGTCAGGGCGCAGCGCCCTCTGTAGGGTGGGAGGACCTAGCGATACCCACTCGCTCGCGTCTGGCCCGCCCCACTCTCCAATGTGATGCGGTACACGTGGGAGGAAGGCACTCGTTTTTACTAGTAGTGACCGCGGACAAGTCCTCTAACTTCCCTGGGCCTCAGTTTCCTCATGCATAAAATGAAGGGGTTGAACTACAGTACTTCCAAGGTCTCTTCCAGCTTTCTATCCCTGGGATTATATCGGATCTGAGTCACTGTTGGTTAGGAAATTAGCCTTCATTTCACAAAGCTCCTCCCTCACCTTGCTGTGCAAATTTCTATAGCAAACTTGCAATTTGCAATTCAAGTAATTGTACTGAAATCTCAAAGGGTCAATGTTCCAAAGTCCCTCCCAGCCCAGACATTGTGTCTTAAGTAGTAGTATGCTAGTAAACTTTTAACAACTGGGTCTCCAGTACCACGTTTTAAAGTTTAATCTGCATTATTAAAATTTTCTCCATCACTTTCTTCAGTTTAGGATGATTAACAAAACAAAAAAGTCCCTGGAAGGTCTCTCCCAGCTCTGATGTTCTCTGTTCTAAAGACCCTCTCGATCCGACTTTCTATAATTCTAAATAAAATAAATCATGGACATAAAGCAGTTGGGAATTGTATTTTCTCTTCCCATTAGAATGTAAGTTCCTTGAGGACAGGGACTGTCTTCACTTTTGTATCCATATCCCAGTGCTTAACACAGTTCCTACCAGCTGATAGATACTTTTTTTTCCTTCATACAGTCAGACATGTAAAAGGTTTATACAAATATGAGTTATGGAGTACGGTTGAAAACTGTAAAACGGGATAGAGCTCCTGGACCTGGGATTAGAAAGGCCCGGGTTCAAATCTAGCTTCAGGCACAAGCTATGTGACTCAGGGCAAGGCACTTAACCTGTGCCTCAGTTTCCTCATCTGTGAAATGGAAATAATAATAGCACCTATCTCCTAGAGTTGTGAAGATAAAATAATATGACATTTATAAAGTGCTTTGTGAACCTTAAAGTACCGTATTTTGTTGTTGTTCAGTCGTGTCTGACTCTTCGTGATCCCATTTGCGGTTTTCTTGGCAAAGATACTAGAGTGATTTGCCATTTCCTTCTCCAGTTCGTTTTAAAGATGAGGAAACTGAGGCAAACAAAGGTAAATGGCTTGCCCAGGGTCACACTGCTATTGTCTGAGACGAGATTTGAACTCAGGTCTTCCACTGCACCACCTAGCTGCCTTAAGGCACTATAAATGCTAGCTATGATTTATTATTATTTGCATTTTAAACCAATGCCACAATTCTGAATCTGATCTCTTTGAACCCACTGATGCTGTACTAAAGAGCTATTTTCTATGTCCACATCAGACCATCACAAGTTAAAGTAAGAGAACAAGAAAAGAAGAAATAATAGAGATAGCTTCCTTTGTTCTAACACTGTCATTTACAAAGCCATTTCCTTAACTCTCCTTTGAGGTAGATAGGGTAGATGTTTTATGGAACATATTTGATGGTCATCTGAAGGTCTGAGATTCAGAGAAAGTAGACTGGGTTATTGATAGGGATGGGAACTAGAACCCAGGTCTCCCAGTTTCCAACCCAAGCATTTATGGAATACTGGGACAAGAAAGGAGGGGCAGTAGGGTACTCACATCACTGTAACCTTAGGAGGGGTGGGAAATGAGCCTTTCTTGAATTGATCTCTGCATCTCCTTCCCACATGGCTGCTGTTGTAAAATACCATGGGCCTCATGAATGCTCAATAAATATTGATGACCACAATGGGAGAGTAATAACATCCAGTACTGCTGAGCAATCCATTGGCGTGATCTTCAGAGGTGATTCATTGACGTCTTCCTGGGAATAGAAGGTCAAATGAGACAGAGAGAAGAACATGGACCATGAGAAGGAAGGAAGGAATGGAGGGAGGAAGGGAGGAAGGAAAGAAAGAAAGAAAAAGAGAAAGAAAGAAAGGAGGAAGGAAGGAAGGAACAGAGGGAGGGAAGGAGAGAGGGAGGAAAGAAAGAGAAAGAAAGAAGGAAAAGAAAAAAAGGAAGGGAGAAAGAAAGAAAGGAGGAAGGAAGGAACAGGGAGGGAAGGAGAGAGGGAGGAAAGAAAGAAAGAAAGGAGGAAGGAAGGAATGGAGGGAAGAAGGCAGGGAGGAAAGAAAGAAAAAGAGAAAGGAAGGAAGGAACAGAGGGAAGGAAGGAGAGAGGGAGGAAAGAAAGAAAGAAGGAAAAGAAAGAAAGGAAGGAAGGAAAGGAGAAAGAAAAGGAAGAGGAGGAAGGAAGGAAACAAGTATTCATTAAGCACTTACTGTGTGTTAGCCATTGTGCTAAGCACTTTGCAAATACTATCTCATTTGATCCTCATAACCACCCTGGGAGGTAGGTGCTGTTATTACCTTCATTTTACAATTGAGGAAACTGAGGCAGGCATTAAGTGACTTGCCTGGGATCACATGGTTAGTAAGTGTCTGAGGCCAGATTTGGATTCAGGTGTTCCTGACTCCTATATCCACTGTGCCACCTAGGTACTAAGTATGAGAGTGGGAAGGCAAAGGTGGGGAAGGAACAGAAACCATCAACTAGAAGCATGTGAGGACATGCAAGGACCTTAAAACATAGGACATCTATTCCAGCCCTCAGAATGTACAGATGAGCAAATGGGGAGCCTGCCCCAAAAGGGTGTTGTAAAAGGACAAATCATATTGCAATCATATTAAATATATTTCCACATTAATTGTGTTGTGAAAGAAGAATCAGAACAGAAGGGAAAACTACAAGAAAGAAAAAAAAAAGTGAAAACAGTATGCTTCGATCTGCATTCATACTCCATAGTTCTTTCTCTGGATGTGGATAGCATTTTCCATCATAAGTCTTTCTGAATTGTCTTAGATCACTGTATTGCTGAGAAAAGCTAAGTCAATCAAAGTCGATCATTGCACAATGTTGCTGTTACTGTGTACAACGTTCTCCTGATTCTGCTCCTTTCTCTCAGCATCAGTTCATGTAAGTCTTTCCAGGTTTTTCTGAAATCCTCCTGCTCATCATTTCTTATAGAACAGTAGTATTCTATTATATTCATATATCACAATTTGTTCAGCCATTCCCCAGTTGATAGGCATCCCTTCAATTTCCAATTCTTTGCCACCACAAAAAGAGCTGCTATAGATATTTTTGTGCATGTGGATCTTTTCCCATTTTTTTATGATCTCTTTAGCATACTGACCTAGTAGTAGAATTGCTGGATCAAAGGGTATGCACAGTTTTATAGCCCTTTGGGCATAGTTCCAAATTGGAATGGTTGGATCAGTTCACAACTCCACCAACAATGCATCAGTGTTTCAATTTTCCTACATTTAACATTTTCCTTTTTTTGTCATATTAGCCTATGAAGTGGTACCTCAGAGTTGTTTTAATTTGCATTTCTCAAATCAATAGTGATTTAGAGCATTTTTTCCTATGACTATAGGTAACTTTAATTTCTTCATCTGAAAACTATCTGTTCATATCCTTTGACCATTTATCAATTTAGCCTGTGCTATGCTCTCCTTGTATGAACTAGGGTGATAGTAGCAGAAACAGTAACCAAAATTCCTATTCAGAAGCAGTTATAAAGAGTAATTCATCGAGGGGGCAGCTAGGTGGCGCAGTGGATAGAGCACCGACCCTGAAGTCAGGAGGACCTGAGTTCAAATACAGTCTCAGACCAAACACTTGACACGTACTAGCTGTGTGACCCTGGGCAAGTCACTTAACCCCAATTGCCTCACCAAAAAGCCAAAAAAAAAAAAAAAGAGTAATGCATTGAGTCCTGGATTTGGAGTCAGAACCTGAGTTCAAGTCCTGCTTCAGACACCTAGAGCTATGTAGCATTGTAGAAGTCACTTAGTTGTCCTCAGCCTCTGTTTCCTCATCTGAAAAATGGGTAAAATACACAGGTTGTTGTTAGTATCAAATGATATAACACATGTAAAGCCCTTTGTAGTCAGTCAATAAATGGTTATTAAGCACCTAGTATGTGCTGGTGTGACAGGTGAAATCTGAAATAACCGAAGAAACAAAGGTTTGACTCTCTGAGCATATTGATATATTAAGCGATGCATGCCAGTTCCATAACAAATTGGGACCAGGTCTCCTCAGCTTGGCACTGGACCCCAAATACAGGAGGAGTTAGATTTTTATGCATTAAAAGAAAACAATTAACAGGATATAAACCAGGATACAAAATTAGGTAATTTGATTTCTAATTGGAGGAAAGATTAGGGACTTCTGAGCTGGGAGAGGGGATAGTGAGCAGGTGGACTTTCCCAGGTGTGAAACAAGATGTCATTCAATTCCCATGATTAGCAAGCAGGTGGAATATATAGGAAAATGAAACTTAAGGCTCAAAATGGAATCAGTTTTACAAGATGGAGTCAGTTTGATTCATGCAGTTCTCTCAATTACCCGTCTTTGATTCATGGGGGAAGGGCCAGCCCAAAGTCAAATTTATAAGTTTTTAAATGTGCTCATGCTCACTATTAACATTCTGTACCAAGAAAAGACCATTGGGAAGCATCCTCTCACTTAGATTAGTACAACAACTAACACAGAGTCTAAGAACAATAATGAAGATATACCCTATTAAGTTAAGCTACAGATCAAACTATTTAATGGTTTTTTGTTTTTTGTTTTTTGGGGTTTTTTTTTGCTAGGCAATGGGGTTAAGTGACTTGCCCAGGGTCACACAGCTAGTAAGTGTCTAGTGTCTGAGACTACATTTGAACTCAGGTCCTCCTGACTCCAGGGCCAGTGCTCTATCCACAGCGCCACCTAGCTGCCCCTGAGATCAAACTATTTAGAAGGTTCACAATGGACTAATTTTGATTTACATGTCA